GGGCTCTTAATTGTAGCTGTTAATCTGCCCTCTCCTGATCCCCTTTAGAAGTTAATTGAATTTATTATTCCATACCTTTGTTAATACTTCAGAAATCCCAATCAAGACTGTAAACCTATGTGTATTAGAGGGCAAGACTTAAGCTAAGACCAATCTGATAACTAGTCTAATTAAAGACTATTAAGGCAGATGTGTTTGTGTTCATAAACTGTTGCAGACTTGAACTATGTACTTTTTCTATCTTAAGATACTCAACCTCAGGTGTTTGGCTCTTTAACAGTAGCTTGATAATGTGTCTGCCTCTATGTATGTTTGAATCTTATTTCTTTCTCAACCTGCTTAACAGGTTCATCATCCATTCAATTTTGGAAATGTGGTTATGATAATATAGATAAACTATCTTATAGTCTTATAATGTTCTATTCTGGCCTCATGAGAAAGACATATACTTTTGTGTAATGGTATTACTGTGGTTATTGAATTTACATTGAAAGTGCTTCATTGACACTTAAACCTGTGGGAAAAAGTGAGTGTTAATGGTTAGGGGTATTTGGGAGTAGAGTTTAGCTTTTGGTTGGGTTACTCTCCCTGACACACGCATTGCCCTGGGCCTTGAGACCCTTGGGAACTTTGAAGTGTCAAGGACCCAAAGGGAACCTTGACCTAAAGTGGAACTCTACCCTTAGCCTATCTATTGACATTCATTACTCCTTTTAGGTTTAGTGTTTAATGACAACGAAAGATTTTCAATGTGAATCACTTTACCACATGTGACCCCACATTAGTATAAACATTCATAATATCTAATTGATGTTGGTTGTTACATTTTGTTTAAGTCATTTACCTATATATTTCATGTATGTATGTGTAGAGCATTATATCTAATGACTTTCTCTTTTTCTTTTGAACATGTGCAACCATTGGTCCTTCTGAGTTCTCGAAACAACTCAGGCCCAAATCTTGTACCAGTGCATCTGAAAGTCTGGAGTTCAGTGTTGTCCGTACCTACAGATTGTTGTGCCTTACTCTTTCAGGCACAAACCATAGTCAACCCCTTTATTGCTTTATTATATCCTGTTATCTACATTCTCTTACATGTATATGACATTGCTCTCATCATATTTGATTTAATATATTACTTTACTCTTTGAATTATATAAACAACTTAAGCAAGACTTAAAGGATGTAGGGTTAAAAGAAATACTAGATAATAACCAATTTTCAATTCATTAATCATGTGTTATTAATCTTTTATGTTTTACTAATGTTTCATGAAGATTTTTGAAGGCAAAATAGCTTAGCAAAATACGATAGTCCCTCTTTCAAAAGAAAAATCAGTAATGAATTGCAAGACTGGCCTTCTAAAACAAAATCGACTCTTTCAAATAAAACCAAAGTGTTGCCGCCCAGCAAAGATTTTCAAACGATTTTTTCAAGTCTAAGATTTAAGATTTCAGAAGCCAAGGTATATCTTAGGCTCACTTTCTTGCAACATATTTATCTTAATAGAGTTACATGAACATCCATTCTTTAAAAACAAAGTGTTTTATAACCTAGCCCCTTTTTACATGTTTTATAAATATAAACCACTCATGTACATATTTTAAAACTCTTTCAATTATACATACCAACATTATTTTCTAAGACGCCTTTATAAACTCATACCCTTTTAAATCGCACATCCCCTTTGCAAATATCATATTCTCACTTAGATATACATAGCAAGCAATACCTCTTTAAACACTAATTAAGCAGATTGCAAACAATTAACCCTTTAAACCTAATCTAAGTCTTATGGAGCTACCTCGGATAGATTTTAAGGGGTACCTAACACCTTCCCCTTAGAAGAACAAGAACCCTTACCCATAATCGCATCGGTTAGCAGACTAAATAAAGAAAATAACCTTAATAATTAAATAGGTACCCTAGTATACCTTTAAATATTAGGCGACGACTCTCGTTTATCAACAATAGAGAAATTACAAGTTGAATCTTGTTTTGACTCATGCAAAATAGGGTGCAACAGATGTTACAGTTGTATTGAAACTTACAAATGAATGCCTCATTGGCATTTAAACATATAGGAGTAAATGAGAATGGTTAGAGGTATTTAGGAGTGAGATTTAGTTAATGGTTGAGATACTTTCCCTGACACTAGCATTGCTCGGGGTCCTTGAGACCCTTGTGAACTTTGAAGTTCGAGGGGCTCAAAGGGTGTCTTGGCTATAAATTGAATTTCACCTTAATCCCTTAATCATTGACATTTGCTAATCTCTTTATGGTTAGTGTCTAATGAAGAAAAGGGCTTCATTGTAATTTTTCTTACTTTGCTCGATCTTACACAGTTTTATTTACATTCTTAACCACAAATATTTGTTACAGTTTTATTTAAGTCCTATGTTTGATCTTATCTGCATTTAAATATCATGTTGGGCTTTGTCACTAATTTCTGCCTTTTTCTTTTGACCATGTAACTGAACTGGGCATGCTGAGTTTTTCAAGACTTAGGCCCAAGTTCCAGCCTTTGAGTATGAAGTCATGAAAGTCGTTGTTGTTTGTCTGTTGTTTGCTGGGCCTAACCTTCTCCAGGACCAAACTACTGAGTCCAGTTTCCTTTCCTTCCTCACTATTAAATGAATTGAGTTTGATATCTTTTTTTTTACATGTGTATAACACTAATGATATTGATTGAATATTTTATTCTCCTTAAGCCTTTTAGGAACCTAGGCAAGCCAAGATCCATAGGTAATAAAACGAATCACTGTTACATTAGGATTAGCTATAAAATTTTGGCATTTTGATCATTTATCCTTCATTACATAAGATTTTATTTTTATTAATGCTAGCCATTTTAATGGAGTTTTTGAAGTTCAAAACAAATTTGAAAAGCAAGCAATTCTTCTTCTAAAGCCGGAATTGAAAGGGAGATTTCAATGTCAGTTTTTTTTCTATAACAAAATCAACACGGTTAGAATCAAGGACTATTAAACTTTCAGCGATTTTTTTCTTCAAACACGTTACTATAAATTGAAACAAATTCCCAAAGGTATATTCAAGTCCCATTTCTAATAATCTTTACTCTACTAGACTTTTATAAGTAACCATGTTATTTAAACAAAGCCACATGTTATGTCTTTGCAAATCTTGTAGGTGTAAATGTTATATAGACATTTTTAAAATCTCTTCAATCATGTAGATGTAAACATTTCAAAGGGCTTTTACAAATTAAACCTAGATCCTCTTTTCAAAGTACATATATTATTTCCTTTCAAAATGATAAGTTTTTTTTAAAACAAATATATAACATAGAGTAAGTCACACACATTTAGTACTAGCTAAAGTAGAATATAGATATTTAATTCCTCGAACCTAGTCTAAGTCCTATGGAGCTACCTCAGATAGATTTTAGGAGGTTCCTAACACCTTCTCCTTACAAGAACAAAAATCCTTACCCAAATCTCACTGGTTAGTAGACCAATAGGATAATAATCTAATAAACAAATAGGACTCTAGTATACCTTTAAATATTAGGTGGAAACTCTCTTTTATCATCAACACAGACACTATTTGAATTTTGTTTTGACTCACACAAAATAGGGTGCAACAATTTTCCTGTGCCATTTGTCCTTTAGCTAGACAATCCAAACTTCCTTTTTCCATTAGCACTATCAGATCTAAAAAATGTTTTGATTTTATTCATATAAACATACGGGGACCATATAAAACTCCAACTTACAAAGGGGAGAGGTATTTTCTCATAATTATTAATGATTTCTCCAAAAGCACTTGAACAATTTTTCTCAATACTAAATCCAGTACATTTTCCACATTAAAATATTTCTTAGCATTTATTGAAAGATAATTTTCTGCTAAGGTTAATGTTATAAGATCTTATAATGCTTTTGAGTTGGGTACATGTCAAATTCCTAATGATTTTCTCTCCTCGTAAAGCATAATCCATCAAACCTCTTGTGTTGTAACATCACAACAAAATTGTGTTGTAGAGCACAAACATAGGAACCTTTTGAAAACTTGTAGAGCCCTTCTTTTTCAGTCATATTCCCCTAAGAAATTTGGGGGGGACTCTTTATTGACTGTCACCTACTTGATAAACCGGTTTCCATCTGAGGTACTTTAAAATAGATCACTATATCAACTTCTTTTTTATAAATAACCAGTTTATCACTCTTTTAGGCCTTTTAGATGTTTATGTTTTAGTTGTACCTTGTCTCGATATAGGAATAAGCTTGATCTTATAGAAATTCCTGCTATTTTTCTTGGATATTCATTTGGGAAGAAATGGTATAGGATTCTAAATTTACTCTCTAATCAGGTCATTGTTTCTAGGGATGTGAGATTTGCTGAAACTATTTTTCCTTTCTCCTATTCTGCTCCACTGTCTAAGTTATTTCCTGCCAGTTTCCCCCCTACTCCTGAGTCTTCTACTCTCAATTTGTTAACCCGCGGCTTCATCATGCTTACTCTCATAATTCACATGTTCAACAACTACCATCTCATTTCTGTCCTAGTTCCTCTCCTATTCCTCTTTCTAGTCCTATTGCATCCCCTTCCCCAGTTCAAACTACACCTCCATCAGTAGTCTTATCCTCCCTACCAGGGCTAGTTTTGAGGTGATCATAAAGAGGGCATCACCAACTAGTCTATTTGTCATATTATATTTGTAATGCTGCATATTCTACTTATTCTCCCAATCCCCCTTTACTTCCCATACATTCTTTAGCCTTTTCTGCCTAACAGAATATAATTAGACATTGAAAAATTCCATATGTCAAATATAAGAACCCACTTCTTACCATCAGGTAGGCAAGGATTTAGGTTGGAAACTTACTATGGAAAGAGAACTTGAGGCACTAGAATCCAAAACTTTGCCTGAAAGAAAGAAGGTTTTGCCTTGCAAATAGATATATAAAGTGAAGTTAAAGTCAGACGGATCCTTAGAAAGATTAAAGGCACGTCTTGTTATCAGAGGGTTTACATAAATGGAAGGTTTGATTATACAGAAATGTTCTCGCTAGTAGTAAAACTGACAATAGTTCAATGTATTCTTACCATTGTAGTGAAAACAAATTGGAAATTGTACCAGCTGGATGTCAACAACGCCTTCTTACATGGCGATTTAGATAAAGAAGTTTACGTGCACTTTCCTCCAGGATTTAACTCCTCCTTCTATATCTCTAGTTTGTAAACTACGCAAGTTGTTGTAAGGTCTTAAACAAGCATCTTGCCAATGGTACGCTCGTTTATCTAATGCTTTAGGTACAAGGGGTTTTAAGTCATCCCTTAATGACTATTCCCTCCTTTTTAAGATCTCTGGTGAATTGGTCACTATACTTGCAATTTATGTCGATGATATCTTAATTACTAGGAACAATGCCAAAGAAGTTGCAGACATTAAACATTTCTTGAACACTGAATTCATAATCAAAGATTTGGGTGAGGCGCATTATTTTTTGGGATTAGAACTTGTACGAGTAGAGAATGGCTTTGTGGTTACCCAGCGAAAATTTGCTCTGGACTTCCTCACTGAGTTTGATTGCTTGTCTTCTAGACATGGTTCTTCTCCTCTTGATCCGTCTCTTAAGCTCTATTTTGAGTGTGGCACTCCCCTTTATGATCCTATAACTTATCGTCAATTGATTGGCAAGCTCAAATTTTTAACTAATACACGACCAGATCTCACTTTTGTTGTGAAGACACTTAGTCAATACATGCAAATGCCTTGTACAGGGCATTATCAGGTATCATTTCATACTCTGCGATACTTGTGTAAAGATCCACGGCTTAGACTTTTTATGTCTCCAAATTCTTCTTTTTAAATGGTTTCCTACTGTGATTCTGATTGGGCTGCTTGTTCTAATTCTCGATGTTTGGTTTGTGGATTTTTCTTAAGCATAGTACGGTTCTCCACTTTCATGAAAATCGAAAAAACAACAGGTTGTTGCCCTTTCCTCGGCCGAAGCGAAGTACAGATCAATGCGTCGATTGGTGGCTAAATTTTCCTGGGTAGTTCGTCTTCTTCAAGATATCAGTATTCCTCCATATTTGCCGGTGGCTTTGCATTTTGATAACTGTGATGACCCAAAAGGTCATCTTATATTTTAAAACTCGAATCTGCACTCTTAAGCCTTAAAAATCTCATTTTTATCCTCCTCGATTTGCGTGCGCAGTCCGGACAAGTTTCTGAAAAGCTTTTATATTGAAAAGTAATGAAAATAAAAATTTTTGCCTTAAAAGTTAATTTTAGTTGACTTCGGTCAATATTATTGGTAAACGGACCCCGGATCCATGCTTTGACGGTCCCGGTAGGTCCGTATCGAATTATGGGACCTGGGCGTATACCCGAAATCAAATTTGGAGATCCCTAGCTTGAGTTATGAATTTTTGATGAAAATTAAAAGTTTAGAAATTATTTGTTTTTAAGAGTTGATTGAGATTTGGCATTGTTAGTATCGGGTCCGTATTTTGGTTCCGGAGCCCGATACAGGTTCATTATGATATTTAAGACATGTCTGTGGAATTTGATGAGAAATGGAGTTGATTTGACATGATTCGGACGTCCAATTGAGAAATTAGAAGTTTTAAAGTGTTCTTGAGAATTTCATTTGAATTGGTGCAAAATTTAGAGTTCTAGGTGTTATTTTGGCGATTTGATCGCGCGAGCAAGTCCGTATGATATTTTTGGACTTGTGTGCATGTTTGGTTTAGAGCCTCGAGGGCTCGGGTGAGTTTCGGATAGGCCACGGGATGTTTTGGACTTTGGAAAATCTGATTTTTTGCAGATTCTGGTGTCTGGCATATCCTTCTTCGCGTTCGCGAAGGTCCTCTCGCGAATGCGAAGAGTAAACTGGGCAGCTGAGGATTTCTTCTTCATGAACGCGAAGGCTTGGTCGCGAACGCGAAGCGATGGCGGCGTTACCCTTCGTGAACGCGACAAGCCCATCGCGAACGCATAGTGTTAGGCACTGGGGAGGGGGAGTCAGCCTTTTCTTTATCGCGAACGCGAGCAATATCTCGCGAACGCGAAGGCCAGGAAAGGGTAGCCTATGCGAATGCGAGCACTGCCTCGTGAACGCAAAGGCTTGGCAGCCCATACACTTCGCGAACGCGACAGTGCTCTCGCGAACGCGATGAACACTGTCGCCCAACACTTAACAGAACCCAAAAACGGGATTTTAGCCAAAAACTCATTTTTCTCAGAAACCAAACGGTTAGAGGCGATTCTTCAAGAGTCATTCCTTCCCCAAATTATTGGTAAGTGATTCTAAACCATTTTCTTTCAATTACCCATTACATTTCTTGAATTTTCAACCTAAAATCTAGAGTTTTCATGGTAGAATTAGGGGTTAGGGTAGAAAATAGGGATTTCGGGAATTTGGAGATTTAAACCTCAGTTTGAGGTCGGATTCCAAAACTAATTATACATTCGGGCTCGGGGGTGAATGGGGTAAAGATATTTTGGTTCGAACCTCGGGTTTTGACCAAGCGAGCCCGGGGTCGATTTTTTGACTTTTTGGAGGAAAAATTGGAAAATTTAATTTATGCAATATAATTGATTCCTTTAGCAATATTTGATATTATTGAGTCATTTTTGAATAGATACGAGTGGTTTGGAGGTTAATTCCAAAAGAAAAGCTGTGATTGAGAATTAAGTGGCCTTCGGAGCGAGGTAAGTGTTGTGTCTAACCCTGACTTGAGGGAATTAGGAACCTTAGATTATTTGTTAAGTGAAATTCATGTGAGCGTCATATATGTGAGGTGACGAGTACTTATGCGCCGCCAAATTTACTTGTTTTTCCATGTTTGCCTGTTTTTCTTATATTGTCTCATTCTTATGCCAAATTGCTATGTGTTATACTAGTGTTGTTCAAATTATCGTTCTTATCATGTTAACGGAAATTTTCTGGTGATAATTGAGTCTTTATTTCAAGGTTGAGATTGATATTATGGAATCAAATGTTGAAGTAATGTTTGTACTTGTTATTCTATCTCCCTGTTGTTATTTATGCATTGCATTATGGTAAGGGGGAGTGTTAATGCACAACGGGTGGTGTCGTGCCATATTGTGAGTATTAATGCATGAAGAGTGATGTTGTGCCATATTGTGAGTATTAATGCACGAAGGGTGATGTCGTTCCATATTGTGAGTATTAATGCACGAAAGGTGATGCCGTGCCATATTGTGAATGTTAATGCACGAAGGGTGATGTCGTACCATATTGTAAGTGTTAATGCACGAAGGGTGATGTCGTGCCATGATATGAGAGTAAAAGCACGAAGGGTGATGCCGTGCCATTTATATTAATTTTATGGTGAGATTAAGAGTAAAAGTACGAAGGGTGATGTCGTGCATTTTTCTTTACTATATTCACTATTCCTGTTGATTCATGGTATATTGACTGCTCCGGTGATCATTCTGTTGTAGTTCTTTATCTTGTATTCCCCTCAGTATGTCTCCCCTCTCGACATTTCCTGTTTAGTTCTTCATTCTTGTTATTTGCGTATACACTGTTAAATTGCACATGTTGATTGTAGGTGCCTTGCCTTAGCCTCGTCACTACTTCGTCGAGGTTAGGCTCGACACTTACCAGTACATGGGGTCGGTTGTACTGATGCTGCACTCTGCACTTTCTGTGCAGATTTTGATACCGGCTCAGGTTGATCAAGATTTGCTATTGGTCCGCTGTCCGGAGACTCAAGGTAGATCTGTCGGCGTTCACAGACCTTGAAGTCCCCGTCTATCTTTTATGTCCTACTGTTTTCTTTCATTCAGACAGTTGTATTTCTTTCAGACTATTACTTGTAGTAAATTCTAGAATGTTCGTGAATTGAGACTTCAGATCCGGGTGGTAGTAATTAATACCATTTTATGATATTCCACACTTATTATATTTCCTTTGAGTTAATTATTGATATTTACTGAATCGAAATAAGGAAATGGTTTAATGATTCTCTAACGTTGGCTTGCCTGGCAAGTGAAATGTTAGGCACCATCACGATCCCGTCAGTGGGAAATTTTGGGTCATGATAGTTGGTATCAGAGCACTAGGTTGCCTAGGTATCACGATTCATGAGCAAGCTTAGTAGAGTCTGGAAGATCGGTACGGAGACGTCTGTGCTTATCTTCCAGAGGCTATGAAGTTTAGGAACAAGTTTCACTTCTTTTCTTCTCTGTCGTGCGATTTTGCTTTCTCAATACTGATTGAACTCTTCTACTTTTATTCTCTAACAGATGGCGAGAACACGTACCGCTTCCTCTACTGAGCAACAGTGAAAGCCTCCAGTGACAGCTCCTACGCGGGGCAGAGGTCGAGGCCGAGACCGTGCCAGAGGCCGAGGCAGGGGCAGGGGTCAGCCTTGGGCCCGAGCAGTAGCCCCATCAGTGGAGCCTCAGATAGAGCTTGACAAGGAGGTTCCAGCCCAGACTGTTTCTGTCGGACCAGCTCAGGTTTTGGAGGGGTTCATTGCTACCCAAGTACTTGAGGACGCTTTGGTCCGTTTGGTGGGCCTTATGGAGAGTGTGACCCAGACTAGCGCATTTCCCATGGCACCAGCAGTCTCTCAGGCTGGAGGAGGAGCCCAGACTCCCACCACTCCTGCTCTGTAGCAAATAACTCCCCAGTATCAGGCTCCAGTAACTTATCCAGTCGGATTAGTTTAGCTGGTTATTGTGGAACAGGTCGGAGATGGGTCAGCTATGTCTTCTGAGGCGTTATGGAGATTGGACAGGTTTATCAACCTCTTTCCTGTTCACTTCAGTGGTGCTCCTTCAGAGGATCCCAGGAGTATCTTGACAGCTGTCACGAGGTTCTACGGAACATGGGTATAGTGGAGACCAATGGGGTCGATTTTGTTGTATTTTAGATGACTGGTTCCGCCAAGAAATAGTGGAGAGATTACTTGTTGACCAGACCAGCTGGGTCGCCTGCTCTTACTTGGGACCAGTTCTCTCAGCTCTTCATAGAGAAGTTTCTGCCTATCACATTGAGAGAGAAGCGTCGCCGTCAGTTTGAGCGTCTCCAGTAGGGCAGTATGACTGTTACTCAGTATGAGACACGTTTTGTGGATTTGGCCCGTCATGCCATTCTTCTGCTTCCCATCGATAGATAGAGAGAGGGTGAGGAGGTTTATTAATGGACTTTCTTAACCTATCAGATTGCAGATGGCTAAGGAGACTGAGAGTGAGATTTATTTTCAGGCGACTGTTAATGTCGCCAGACGAGTCGAGATGGTTCTTACTCAGGGAGGTCAGGGGTCTGACAAGAGGCCTCGTCATTCTAGTGAGTTTAACGGTTCCTCATTTAGAGGCAAGAGTACTTTTGGTAGAGGCCATCCTCCCAGACCATTTCATTCAGCGCTTCAGGCATCCCACGGTGCCTCAGGTGGTCGTGGCCCTCAGATACATTATTCCGACCAGCTAGCCTACATATTAGTGCACCTCCACTCCAGAGTTATCAAGGTTATTATTCAGGTCGACAGGGTCAGTTTCAGGGACAGCAGTCACAGCAGCCGAGGTTATGTTATACTTGTGGTGATCTGAGGCACATTGCTAGATATTTCCCTAGGGCAACAGGCAGCTCACAGCATCAGAGTTCTCGTGCCATGGTTCCGGCACTAGTTGCTGCACCACCTGCTCAGCCAGCCAGAGGTAGAGGCCAGACTGTTAGAGGTGGAGGTCAGGCCGTTCGAGGTGGAGACCAACCAGTTAGAGGCTGTCTCAGGGACGTAGTTTAGGGTGGTGGGGCCCAACCCCGGTGTTATGCTTTCCCAGCCAGGCCTGAGGCTGAGTCATCTGACGCTGTTATCACAGCTACTATTTTAGTTTGCAGTAGAGATGCTTCAGTTCTATTTGATCCGGGATCTACTTACTCTTATGTGTCATC